ATAGTACTAAAAGACCAGGATCCTCTGAAATTTGGGAGAAAAACACTCATAGCACAAAAAGGCCAGGAACCTCTGAAGTTTGGGAAAAGAATACTCATAGTACTAAAAGACCAGGGACTTCTGAAATTTGGGAGAAGAACACTCATAGCACGAAGAGACCAAGCTCTTCTGAATCTTGGGAGAAAGAGTACCAAAGTACCAAGAGACCAGAATTACCTAATGTTTGGGAAAAAGGTTCTCAGAGCACTAGGAGGCCTGGATCCTCTGAAATTTGGGAGAAGGGATCTCAAAGTACTAAAAGACCTGCATCCTCTGACAATTCGGAAAAGGGATCTCAAAGCACGAAAAAACCTGTATGGGAGGAGAATAATCAAGATTCGAAGAGACCTGGTCATCATGACTTCCGAATCTTCAAAAGCCGAGACCGGAAAGTGACCAACACACGGTTGTCAAAGAGAAAGACACGACGCACGAAGGCTTTCAAAATCATCATCAGGGATACAAAGATAAGATAGATACGGGACTCAATACATTGGTGATTAGGTTACCTGGAAAAGAGCATGCGTCTAGCGAAGATGAAGGCATCAGGCCCAACAGGCCTAACAACCAAAGACCATCCGAGTCGAGGCCCGACGATAGTAAAACAGAGGACGGAGATTTGAGCGTTCAGGAATCGATTCATAGACCGAGTGTTAATTCGGTTGATGAAAATGTAAGCGTTTGATTGTAAAATTTTAAAAATGATGATGTTACTTTTTGTCAAATACCATTCGCAAAACATCGCTTATTCGAATTCGGAATAAGTATGAATTTTTTTACGTAATAAATTTATTTAATCGTTTCATAATGTATTCCTTCTGATCGAAGATTCTTTTATTCAAACAAATTTATCCCCAAATTAGTTTGAATAATCGACGTTCTAGTGTTTTCGAATTCAACGTGGCATCGAAATTTGTTGATTTTTGGAGTTTGCTTTCAAAGTAAAGTTTAAAAGTGTTTAACCATCTCATCAGGAATCAGCCAAGGACCCTCATCCGAGCTTGAACTTCATTCACACGGAACGTCCACAATGGGCTACCAAACCGGTATCCCCTAAACCGACCACAGACTTCTCGAAACCGTACTTCTCGATCAAGACGACAACCTATCGGCCGATCCTGATGAACGAGCAACCGGATACCAGGCCGAACTTCGTCTCGAAACCCAATGGTCCGAGCACAGCCGTGAAAACTTCGACCACAATCAGACCGTCACACTTGAGCGGCCAATCCACCACCAGGTATCCGACTATGTCCTTGCGTTCCTACCCTCGAAAATTCTTCCTCTCTTTATCATTTCCGCTTTTATTCAACTGCGCGGAATTAACGCGCAATCGTAAATTTCCTCCATAATTAATGGCTCCAAGGAAGCGAAGTGGAACGAAGCGTTTTCGAGCTTCAAGCTTTTCTTTCATTCTAGCGCAGCCGGATCCTTGCCACAAACCTCTCACTGGCATGTGACCACTGAACCGGTGTTCGTCACGAAGCAGAGACCTTCCTTGTCCACCAAGCCGATGAGCTCGCTCGAGACGGTCAAACCGTTGACCAGCAACTCCCATTTCTGGTCGGAGAACAGTTGGACACCACCAAGGCCGTCCTTGAAACCGCATTGGACGGATAATCCTAGCCTCCTTCAGAATGGGCCTGAAGCGTTTCCACCACGGCCAAGCTTCAAACCAACCGAACCACAAGAAGTACGTAGTGGATATTTGTATTGTATAAAACGTGTTTCATTTGTAATTTCTCAATATCGATAGATTAAGAGATTCTCTTCACGGTGCTTCTTAAATAATTATCGTATAATGCGTATTCTCGGCTTTCTTCATTTGCCCGCAATATATTTAAAGAAACAATAATAGGAATAAAATAAATGTGTAAAAATGTATGAAGTAGTAGTGCGTAAAACGAATGGAATCTATTATTCCAGTCGAAGAACTTACTGCAAAACAAGTAAAGTATTCGAATGATGGATACTTTTAATAATCGTACACTGAAATTATCGAATAACTCAAGAATTCTCTTGCTCTTATAACCGCGAGCCATAATCGCGAACACTTCTTCCCCGCCCGATACCTGAAACGCTTCCGCGTCTTATCTAGAAATCAGTTTCCCCTCGGAGGAACAACTTTATCATATTACATCCTCGAGTACACTCCATATCCCGCAAACCCCTCTAATATCGATCCTCCTATCGATATTCGTCGTAAGAAGAACAACGTAGTCCGATTTTTCTTTTTTTCTTCTTTTTTCTTTTTTTTTTCACTCGTCCGATTACTGTTAATCACTGACAAAGGAACCGATCGGCCTTCGACTCGATTACACAGTCCATTGAGCATCGTGTTACAAAACGGAGCCGTCCATTCGGAAAATTAATAAATTCGAACGGCAGTCGAATAGAGTCGGATAGAGTCGATTCAACTCGCATTTCCTTTTTTTTTTCCTTTTCTCTTCGCAGAACACGGAGTTCCACAAGCCGCTCGGCGCCGCGCATTACATCACCACGTCCCACTTCGAGACCTCCGCAAGGCCCAGACCCACGAAGAAAACCACCACGTCCACCACGACCACCACCAGTACCACCACCACCACCACCACCACCACCACGACCACGACTACGACGACAACCACCACGACACCAAAACCTGATACGACCGTGTCCACGACCGAGGCGGTCGCGAAAACTGGATCGGTGTTGACCGTCTCGGCCGCAACCGAGAGCAAGGGCATGCAGTGCGGGGTACCGCCTCTGTTTCCACGACCCGAGACCAGGATCGTTGGAGGCAAGGACGCGCCGTTCGGTCGATGGCCTTGGCAGGTATCCGTCAGGCGCACCTCGTTCTTCGGCTTCTCGAGCACCCATCGATGCGGCGGCGCGGTGCTGAACGAGAACTGGATCGCGACCGCGGGACACTGTGTCGATGAGTGAGTAGAATTTCTTGGAGATGTTGCAAATTGAAATTTTTCTGAATGACGTTAGTTAGAAAAGAATAAGTAGAAATCTGTTTCTTTTTTGCATACATCATTTTAGTAGATTATATGCATTTTGTATATTTGTGCTCATTTAAATTTTTCATAAATGTATATGTATATATATACAAGATATATAAAATATTAGGTTATTAAATTGTTATAGTTTGAAAACTTATTTGCAAAATAATTCATGCACGTGGTTTTATTAAATATATTATTTCTTTCGTTTCAAGATGCATAGAACAAAAATAAAAGAAAGTAGAGAGAAGAGTGTATCCAATATGAAAAGTACAATAAAACGAAACTGTTGCTATTAATGTCGAAAATAACTTTCGAGACATGCTAATAATATCGAAAATAATAAGGAAAAGAAATGTATAAAGACGAAGATAGAAAGTCTAGGGAGCCGCGGATCATAAGAAGAAGCGGGATCAGTGTACGTAATTGCTTCCTGTTATGATTACAGCCTCTTGGTACGTGAGTGAATGCAAATGTGCCCGCCCCTCGTGTAGAAAATGAACCTCGATTAACCCGTACACTTGATTAGCAACGATCGTAAGAATGCAAAACGAGAGAAATATTTGAAATCGATTCTGTTGCAGCCTGTTGACCTCGCAGATCCGGATCAGAGTAGGCGAGTACGATTTTTCGTCCGTTCAAGAGCGATTGCCGTACGTGGAACGCGGCGTGGCCAAGAAAGTGGTCCATCCGAAGTATAATTTCTTCACGTACGAATACGATTTGGCGTTGGTTCGATTGGAAAGCTCGTTGACCTTCGCTCCGCATATCTCGCCGATCTGTCTTCCTGCCACTGATGATCTTCTGATCGGCGAGAATGCGACCGTCACCGGTTGGGGAAGATTGAGCGAGGGTGGCACCCTGCCATCCGTGTTGCAAGAGGTGAAGTTTGCAACCTTACGTAGTAATTATAAATCCACGAAAAATGACAGTTTTAAATTCTTTAAATCAATATAAAAAGAATCGTATGAAATACCGAACCTTTGACGATTTAACACTTTTCACATTTATAATATCTCAATGAGAAGCATAAGATTCGGGTTGTTTTTGTACAAATCGGTGGGACAAGAGATGATTTGAAAATGATTTTTACAAATGAGAAACTGTTAATTTAAACTAGAATTGGATTTCCTATTGCAGGTTTCCGTGCCCATAGTGAGTAACGATAGGTGTAAGTCAATGTTCCTGAGGGCTGGGAGACACGAGTTCATACCGGACATTTTTCTTTGCGCCGGATACGAGAGCGGGGGCCAAGATTCTTGCCAGGTATTTATAAAATAACTTCGCCTATAAATATCACTACATATTTAAGATTTACAGACAGACAGACGTTTCATTATTAATGTATATAATTGTACAATTTTGAAGTCGCGTTAGAACCGCAGAAAAATCAATATTTGCAAACACGGATCCTTGTTTCCAAAAAAATAAAATGTGTAATTTTCAGGGAGATTCGGGTGGACCTCTGCAAGTGAGAGGGAAAGACGGCCGATACTTCCTCGCGGGCATCATATCCTGGGGAATCGGATGCGCGGAAGCGAATTTACCAGGGGTGTGCACGAGGATCTCCAAATTCGTCCCGTGGATCATGAAGAACGTCACTTGACCCCGTTTCCGATCCATCATCTGGTCCTCGTCGACAGATTGACGAACCGATTTGCCGGTGTCCGAGCACATAAAACGTAACTCCAAACGTTTCTTCGGATATTTCCAAGCAGTAACAGAGAGAATCGGCAACGAATCACTGCCAAATAAGACGTAAGACTTATTGTCGAAAGTAAAAAAGAACGAGGCTCGTAACACGAAGATTCTCATTCCTCCTTTGAAGATAAATGTAAAAAAAAAAAAGAAACGAGAATGGTGTGAAGGAAATGAGAGTTTGTATCGTATCGAACAACGTATCATAGACAGAGGTTTGAGAAACTGCTGTCTCAAAGACTGCCGCTTTGAAAGCGAAGCCAATCGAACACAGATCGCGCGAGGCTGTGGAAATGAGAGATCGTTCTTCAAGAACGATGAACAAACTCGCGCTCAACCAGGACTGTATTTATATATAAATATATAAATATAAATAAGATAATATATATATATATATAAAATATATATATATTTTGAACGAGCTGTTGGCTCGTCTGTCAGTTTTTGCCAGCCTGTACATGAATATATAAAAAAGAAGAGAATTAAGTTGAAATTGGCTTGACGTTGAAAAGGCCTGAGGAAAGGACTAATAATGAATAATTAAATGATACCGGCAGTTTCAACAGCAAGCCCATGATTATACATTTATCTATCAAGTTGTATAGCGAATTTTGTAAAATGCTAAATTCTTGCCCATCGCCTCTAAATATCCTCTATTAATCGAAGAGTTAAATTAAAATTCTGTCTTTCCTTCACTATGTCTCTCTCTCTCTCTTTCTCTTTCTCTTCCTTTTTTCGTTCTCTCTCTCTCT